TGTATTATATGCCTGTGACTTTTTATTTTCTGGACTTAATGTACCTGACAAATATGCAATGTGACATATCACAATGGAATCGTAAATGTCACTCACTCGCTATTGCCATCACACAATAAATGTAAACACCCCACAGCACAATTAAACGGCACAACACATTTTTTACATATCAAAAACGCAAAAAATCTATTTCTATTTTTTAATATCGTGGAAAAATGCTACTGCAGTTCACAAAATTCACAGAAGTTAAAGCACCGAATCTTTTGAGGCGGCAGAAAAAAGTGTAGTATATACTCAGCAGTTTGAATTATTATTTAGACATTCACAACTATTTTTGTCTTTGCTGTTACAGTCCACAAGATCTTCTTCACATTTTAAGGGTGTTGAGGGGGAATGAATTAACAGGTAAGTTTAGCTTTATATTCTATTGATGATACAGTGTTTAGCCTGTGACATCAGGTGACTATGTCAATGGGAAATTCATGAAGTGAGAAATATACTGCACAAAGGACTGAAGAGTTTGCAATTTACAATAATTAACAGCAAACAAGAAAAAAAATGATTTTTCAATCTGTCTAACCAGAGTTGATTGATGCTGATCTGAATCCCCACGAAGACCATTCAAACCAATAGTAAAACAAGCAATGTGTCTGCGTGGATTTAGAATATCGATGTACCAGCTGAATTTCATCCAATGACATTAGATTTCTGTTGACGGCTTTCTCAGAATTTACTATTAGTGCTTGAGCTATTTTACAAGGATAATTCCATTTGAGGGTTCAGGGATCAATATAAGTTTGTAAATTTATAGTTTACATAAATGATGAATGGTTTTGCTAAAAAGAGAATGAGTATTTCCTCTGATTTACAAGTTGTCTCAAACTAAGGATCATCATTATAATTCAGTGGTTGGAATCCAGAAAATTCCAATGCTATACTCTAGCGAACTTGTGCTATAAAGTCATGCATTATAACAGCACTGCACTGTAATATGGAATGCTAGTCCACAAATAAATGTTCAAGCTGAGTTCATCAAATTATTTTAAACCAAATTGGATAATTGATCAAGGAAAATAATATTAAAGGGTCTCAGGTAGAACTGGGGAATGGGATTGGAGTAGATAGCTCCAGGCAGAGAGCTATAACCAGCATAAACATGTTTGCCTGAATGGCCAACTCTCTGGGTTGTAAACAACTTATGAAAGCATTGATCAGCAAAGAGAAATGTGGAATCGAACTGCTCACTTTTCCATTATTATTTCAAACATTTTCTTTTCCCAAATTAACAAACATCCTCCTCCTCAGTCACTTGGTAAACAGAAGTCAGGCCACAGATATCTCCTGGATAACCAGTGCTCTTTTGATATCAGGAGGTACACTCAATGCAAAATACTGCTGCAATGGGACTGTACTAGGTTGAGTTGCGTTTAGAAAATGAGAATGTAAAAATACAACACTGTGAAGAAGATTTCAACCAACTGTAAAAGCCAGTGTGTTAAGCTGAGAAGAACATAAAGGTAAAATTTACAATATTTAACATAGGCAGAAACTGTAACATCAGCAGGTTGATGTTACTGGTTGTTTCCATTCCAGGTCAATAGTGTTTGGCCCTGAGGCCTTAATAGATTAAAAATTATTTGTTGGCCAACAACGGTGTGGATGATAGACTTGTCCAAGAGAGAAATATCTGCCAAAACAAATCTTAGAGCCTGATGTTGGACCTAAAATTTACAAAATAAAAAAATGCCCATCTCAGAACCAAATAATGGCTGCCACTTGGACCTGGAAAAGTAGAAACTACTTTCCTGGTGGAGTGTCCTACCATCTGGTGGCAATATCTGATATTTAATTAAGGAAAGACATAAAAATTACCCCAAGCAGTGCAAGAGATCTATTGAGATAGCTGCAGCTGGGAACTGCTGAGACTACTATCCAAGAACAAAAACAGTTGAAGATTCCAACTGCTGCAGTGTAAAACATTTGACATTACCAAGCAAACAGAGAGCAGTGATCAAATAACTGCAGAACGAAACAGTGACTAAAAACGTTATAAAACTCTCTGACAGCATCAAGCAAAAGTTGATCGAGTTAAACTGGCGATCAAGACAGTAGAACGTAAGCTGAATCTGATGAAACAATGTTAGCCCTTGAAGAACAAACCAGAAGTGTGGACGTTCCTTTATATGAGTGATCTATTGTAATTTTAACATTGGAACCAGTACAATTTAAGGACTACAACACCATAAAAGTTTTAGTTAATTGCAATGAAAATGCCAAGAAAACCTTACTTTCCAAATTTAGGGCAATTAATGTCCAGTTTAATCAAAAACAATCAATTTTGTAAGTATATTTGGAACATTTTAGACAGTTTGTAGTGCTTTGCTTTGCTGGGGGTCTCTCTTCTGCTGTTAGCTAAAAAGAGCAATTTTACATCACCATATGTTGTCCATTATAAAATGCTAGTGAAAAGATTACTAACCAATTAACATGATAAATGCACTATATGGAGCTACTGGGAATGGAGGTCAACATTCTGACTGTGAGAGCAATCCTGTCTGTTTCTCTTTTCCAGAGTTCTTTTATTTTAACATTTGAAATGTTAAGAAAATGATCTACAAGCTACTGTCTCGCAAGCTTTCCCACTGCCTGTCCAGCTCGGACCACCCTACCCGTTAGGGCTTTGGCTTGCTGGGTTAACAGGAGCTGAAGTTACAAAGAATCCTGAAGGATACGTTATCTAACAGACCATCAGGAAACAAAATCAGAAGATAATGTCTGAACTCATTCCAGTCTAATTGAAAGAGCTTCAAAATGCAAAGTAAAGCTTGATCTTTTATCTTGATCTCAGACACCATAAACACAATAAACTTTATTGGATATATTGCCCATTCAATTGATTTTGTTGTGTTGACTCTGGTATCATTGAATATCCAGTAGAATTGACTAGGTTCCATTGATGGAGGTTATTCTCAACGTGTCAGTAAATTTCCCACCATTTCTGGCAAATGCCAAAAATTCCCATTAAAGAAGCACTTTGCCAAGATCGATAAATTATACAAGTGGAGAATGACCCCTTAGGTTTTGATGACTATTGTTGAAGATAAACTATATTTGACTGACTTACTCTACAATTCTTCAATGTTATAAAGATCGAACATTTGTGTGAAGTTCTACTCCAACACATCAATGGCTTTTTCACTATGTCTTTGAAGTTTGTGAAAATCCCAGTTTTAACTTCTATAAAGATGCTGCGTGATCAAAGTCTCCTGACAGGAGATTAGCATCTGAGTAGAGTTTCAGAGGGTCAGACTGAAACACATTGAAGTATCTGCAAGGTCTGTAAATTATAAATGATCTTGTGAATCTCAGAAATTAAACTTGCAAATCACATAAGTGTGGTACACACGTCTGCTGCCTGTCACCTACACATATAACACTGTGACAACGAACAACTATGAAACACCAATAACACAGGAAATTCCTGCTACAATAATAATCCTTGCATTTGATATAGGGCTTTATCACATCTTCAAAATGTCTCAAAAGCGCTTCACAGAATATACTGTAAAGTGAAATTGACTGTATATTTTGTGGGCAAAACGACAATGTTTAGCTTTATGGAGCAGATGGAGTCGATTTTTCTTAAACCTAGCAATGAGAGTAATCCATTATAATTCTTATTAGTAAGTACCCTGAAAAAAAGGTTGCTTGCAACACTTTTACAAAGACTACAGCTTTTACCCATAAAATAATTTCCTGTGACAATACCCTTATCTCCAATACTGTAAATGACTATATTGACTTTGATTATTTAGTTCTTAATGGATGATATGTCTGATATGATCTTTAGACCATGGTTACATTATAAGATGTGGTTCTATTGTTTCATAATGAATAATGCGTGAATATGGCTGTTTTGGAGAAAAAAAACCTCAAAGGAATACTTTAGCAACAGCAGTTGGGCCAAAACAAAGAATTGTTTTAGTTTTCTCTAAAGATACTGAAACAATTCAAAGATTTAAATTCTTGTTATGATGTACATGCCTAACCTACTGATATAAAGTAATAGACTGCAGAATACCCCAAATTTAGTGCATACCCTGCTGCTGTAACATACAAAGTTTAAACATATACTTCAAGGATTTTTGTATCTTTTTATTACCTCATTTTTAAAGAGCTCCATAGACTTGCTCCTCCCTACCTCTGTGACCTACTAAAATGTTACCAACTTGTCTGCTCCCTCCGTCAGGAGGTACTGGCCTGCTCCTTGTCCCCTGCCTTGCCCGCTCCTCCATTTGCCTTGAGCCTGTCTGCCCCACCCTCTGGAACTCCATCCCAGAGCCTCTCTGCCTCACCCGGAGCGGATGGACTAGCAGTTTAGAAAAGAGGCAAATAGATCTATTCTGCTGTGCCTTCTGTGTAACAATTATAATAATAATTATCCCTGCATTTGATATAGTGCCTTATCACATCATCGAGATGTCTCAAAGCGCTTCACTGGTTATAGCGTAAAATGGACGGACTGTGAATTTTGCATCCATATGGCCTAAATCTTTTCTTCTCCATTCAGTATGTTTTTCAATCTGCCCGAGTGCTTATTTATAACTCTGGTGCAATTTTAAAAATAATCTTTCATTTTATTTATACTTTTAAATATTGCATTAGAGCTATTTACACATGAACAGGGACACAAAGTTTACTAAACAGAGAAAAGCTATGAGCCCACATTCACATCAAGCTACAAGAAAAGCATAGAAAAGTATAACCCCACTTTGCCTTCAAAGCTCTCCACGCCTTGCTCCTTCCTACCTCTGTGACCCGTGAACACCATATCAACCTGTCCACTCCCTCCGCTCAGCAGACTCCTCCTCTTCGACCGCTCCTTCAGTCACCCTCCTAACCCTAAGCCTCCCTGCCCTCCACCCCTCCTGAACACAACCCCCTGCTCAGGTCCAAATCCCTGACTGTCCAGCACCTTGGGATGTCCTCCCAACGTGAAAGGTGCTATACATATGTAATTTGTTGTCTTCGTTGCATTATCCAGAGGATGTACTTTCAATCGCTACACTGAATTTCTCCTACTTCCAGAACTAAACTTAAAAAGTCCTGCACATTATATGGATAACAATCCAACTGTATTTCTTCATATGCATGGGTTACCTGTCAATGTCTTGTTTGAGTTTCAAAGGCAGTAAGCCTTCTCGTGCACCTTGGCATAAGATCTTCAACAGTGCAAATAATGACCTGTTGTGTAATAAAAGTGTTCTTAATATTGTTTGGCTCTAAGACTCCCACAGCACTACTATGAACCCTGCCTGTGCTTTTTTTTTTACAGCTGCCAAGTGAATTACGACTGTACTTCCATCAACTACAATGTTGGCTTGTATTTAGTTCATGCACTGAAAGAAAATCAGTCCTTTTTCAGTCATTGTACTGGTACCAATTAAGCAGGAAGATAATTTATTGAGGTCACCAGGTGGAATTTGCAATGTGTTGGGTAGATCGAAGCATAAGATAATGGGTCAATGCTCCCAAGTATTCAATTGTCCTATAAGATCTAGCCAATTGCACAATCCAAAGTACCTTAATGCTACATAATTTTACCTGAAGATCTTAAATTGTTATAAAACATAAAAATCCATAGTTCTGAATACAAAAGCACAGCCACCTCCACCAGCATTGGCTAAGTAAGTGTTTAGCAGGACAGTAGTGCATTTATTTCTTCAGTGGCTGGTACATTAAAGTGTTAGGATCAAGTACAGCATTCCCAGTTGCCACAAACTTAGAAGAGTAGTGTGATATTGCAGGGCTCAGGGTACTAGAGACACTGTATGAGATCCCAGGCATAACTGCCATCACTTCTGCAACCTTCTGTTTCAGATCTTCAATTTCCAGATCCTGTTGGATTATATGTCCTGCAAGAAAAGAAAATTGATTCATCTAAAGTAAGTGTATTTTTAAGCTCCCATGGAAATTTACAGCACAGAAGAAGGTAATTTGGCTCATTGTGTCTGCGCTGACTCTTTAAGAGCAATTCTTTCAGTCCCATTTACCCGTTCTTTCCACACACCCCTATAGTTTACACCTTTACAGATATTTCTATAAAGCTAATATAGATTCTGCCTCAAACATTCTGCCTCAACAGGATATTCCATATCCTAACCACTCTGTGTGTTCCCCTAAAATTCTCTTAACCTTCCCATTTTGCTTGTTTGCTAACTATCCTGACTCACTGACCAATGAGAATAATTCCTCCCTATTGACTTTATCAAAACGTTTCAGAATGTTAAAGACCTCTATCAGATCACCCCACAACCTTCTTTGTTCCAAAGGGAAAAGTCCCAGTTCCTCCAGTCTCTGCTCCTAGGCCAGCCCGCTCATCCCTGGTATCATCCAAGTAAATCTCCTCTGACCCCCTCTTTCACCTTGACGTCTTTCCTAAAATGGGGTGACCAAAAGTGGACACAATATTCTAACTGTGGTGAAACTAACAATTTGTATACATTTGGCATCACCTCTTTGATTTTCTATTCTAATTCCCTATTTATGAAACCCATCTCTGTAACCTGCAAGTTGATTGTTTTTTTTTGGCTGGTGATAATGAAATTCTTAAGTTACGAATAAGAAGAAAAAATTGTCTAAATGAAGTGAAGGAGGCCTGCTAATAATGACTGAACGCAGATGTGACCACCATTGTTGGACCTATCAAAGCGGTAGCTTGCCAGCCAACATTGGAGCATTGATGGGCAGGATGCTGGCTTTACTATTAGTTTTGTTGTTGAGTTAAGCTGTTATCTCACTAACAGTACCACAATGATCAAGGTGCAATCGTGTGTTGTGGAGGTAGCGACATGATAACACATTGAATTCTGGAGAACAGGAAAATAAAGCATTTAATTAAAAGTTAAAAATTATAGTTGTAACCCCCATTTTAAAATAGAATTGCTTGCAATTAAAATGAAGATAAAAGAATAAGGGAAGACAAGGCAAGCAAAAGTAAATTCTCTAAACATTTTACTTTCATTCAAATGTTCTTTTAATTTTCTGTAATATACAGTTCAGGATCGACTTCAAGATCCTAACCTCACTCATGAATCCCTTCACGACTTAGCATCTCTCTACGTCCCTGGCCAATGTTTAACCCATTTCTTTGCCCGCCCCCTTCAGTCAGCTAACACAGCTGTGCTGTTCCCTGAACCTTCCGCACCACCATCGATTACCATGACGTCAACCATTACACCCTAACTTTTGGAACTCCATGCCTCAATCACTATTTACCTATCTTTATCTCAACCACCCCAATGGTCACCTCCCCTCCCCCTCTCCCTTGCTTGGCATCCAATCCTGCAGTGTGCAGCCCTCCATGATGTTATCTTGCTTGAAAGGTGCTATAGAAATGTAAATTGGCATTAGATCACAAAAACTGCCAAATATCGATGGTTACCATTTTTAATCGATTTCCACTGAAAGTGTCTATAAACAAGTTGCTCACCTTGCGCAATCTCCAATTGCCGTCTGGCATCTCCAAGAGCAGAGAAGAGATCAAGTTTAATCCTGGTCTCTGCACTAAGGTTGGTTTCCAAGTGTTGTGTTTTGTCCTGCAAGGCTGAAAGTGCTGCCATCAGGATCCCAGTGTCCTGTTCGTTCTCTTTATGTTTGCAAAGTTCCTGCAGCAGACACAGATTCAATTATCTCCCAAAAATACCAGTTAAAAAAACAAAATGATCCATTCGATTCCTCTATTTTGTAACCTATTAATTATTATAATGTACTTCTGCCAAGAGATCATATTGAAATCTAGATTGCAAATAAACAATAAAATTAAGAATGTAATCTCTCAGTTATTTATCCTTTCATGAGCAGATCTTATGATTTAGAAATTTATGAAAATCTTCCATTGTATCACATAAAAATGTTTCAAATGCTTTTCAGATAAATGATCATTGTCAAGTGTAGTGACTGGCAAATGTGGTAGCCACTTGTGTTAGTCAGGTTCCACAAACATGAGGTGAATTAACACTTAACCTGGAGGATTATTGGCTGGGATACTTGGAGAAATGCCTTTCTCTTTTTGAATAGAGTCATGGGATCATTAACATAAATCCAGAGACAGTTTAACATTTCAGCCAAAAAATGTCACCTCTAGCCCTGCAGCATTCCCCCAGTAGTACACTGGAGGTAACCCTGATGTGAAGCTTGAACCCACATCCTGACGAAATGAGACTGGGACGTATTAACTCAAATCAGATTTTATCTGACTTAGACATTTATTACTTATTTACGAAAACTTTGCAAATTACATCAGAATATATTTGTTACACTCACAATATAGAATTGTTGAGTAAAATAAGCAGTGCCAACACAAACATTATAGGATAATAATTTTCTACCTTTTATTGAATGCTACCCTATGGGTATTTTAACCGATTATAATAATTTGAAATATTCTTTCCTGAATCATTCATTTTTTAACCTGTGATCAGCATTTTTATTACACATGACTTTAGGCTCTGTCATACATCTCCTGAAATCCACCTCTTCACTATATTTCTAATAAAATCCTTATGTGAAACTTTCCACTAACAAGAGTACATAAATAATCTTTTATGGTAGAATATTAAAGGGGGTGAAGGAACAGAGGAACTTGGGGGTCCATATAAGTAAATCTTTGAAGGTGGCAGGACAGGTAGATAAAGCTGTTAAAAAAAGCATAAGGGATACTAGGCTTTATAAATAGGGGTATAGAATACAAAACTCAGGAAGTTATGATAAACCTTTATAAAACACTGGTTGGGCCTCAGCTAGAGTACTGTGTTCAGTTTTGGGCACCACACTTTAGGAAGGATGTCAAGGCATTGGAGAGGGTGCAAAGGAGATTTACCAGGATGGTACCAGGAATGAGGGACTTCAGCTATCAGGAGAGGCTAGAGAGCCAGGATTATCTCCTTGGAGTAGAGAAGGTTAAAAGGAGACTTAGAAGTTTTCAAAATTATGAGGGGATTCGATAGGGTGAACAAGGAGAAACTATTTCCACTGGCAGGTGGGTCGGTAACCCTAGGGCGCCGATTTAAAATAGTTGTTAAAAGAAACAGAGGGGAGGTGAGGAGAAATGTTTTGACACAGTGAGTTATTCGGATCTGGAATGAATTGCCTGAAAGGATGGTGGAAGTTGATTCGATAACAACTTTTAAGAGATTATTATTTGGGGAGGACAAGTTGGCAGGGCTATGAAGAGAGAGCAGGGGAGTGGGATTAATTTGGATCTCTCTTTTCAAAGCTGTATCCTGTGTTGTATAATTCTATGATTCTATGTATGGAGGATTTGAAGCATGTTTGTTTGGTGCAATTTTCCAGTTTTAACTCTTTCTACGCTTTCTTTCAGAACACTGTTTCAATAAAACAGTAACCATGAAGCTTGGGTGCTTGTCCAGCTAGAATTGTTATTTACACACTTTGGTTTGCAAGGTTGAAGAAATGTGTAAACTTTCAACCCTTGATATATTGCTGATATACCTGATTTTGCCAGACATGTTTTTGATCAGAGCAAATTTAACTCAAGGAGACGTTTGGGTAGAAAATCCATCTGGGTCTAGATTTAGTCTATTTATATAGCTTTTAATAGCATCTATAATTTGGCAGATTCTTAAATACAGCTTTAATTTGGAATCCAGTCTCCTGCAAATTCTTTCAAAGTCTACAGAAAACTGATTTCAAAGTGAAAACTGAATTCAGCAATTTGCCAAGTTCTAAACACTCTGAAATGCTACATAAATAGAGTGAGTCTAGACCCCGGTGAAATTTCTCTCCTTATTCACTCCCAATTGTCCCACAGTGCCAGCCACAGGAACATAATTGTACTACATTACAGCGGGTTAAAAATGAACCTCAATACTATGCTTCTACTACAAGTTTGGTTGTGATGTGCCCCACGAGGTTGCTATCAATTGAGTAAAACTAGTCCAACATTTAAACTGTGAAAAGGCAAGGTGTTTTTTGCAGCCGCCAGCCAGCCATGTGAATTGCTTTGCAATCATTCGTGTCATATCCATTTATACTGGTTATTTGGTGGTAATTCCTTGCACACAGCTCAGAATAAAACTGGTAATAATCCATACAGACCAGAAGGTGGCAGGCTAGATTTGCAATCTGTACTGAGTTATCTGATCTCAGCAGGAACGGTAGTCAGTCCTCAATACGCTAGGTTAAAGAGGAAGGAAATCAATAAGGATCTTGTTCATTAACCCAAAGCCTCTGGTGGATAATAGGTGAGTGGATGTCCAATGAGAACAGAATTGGACTTGTTTGTAATGTCTGTGATGCTTTCCTTTGTTGAATAGCCTGCTTAACTATCTACCTAACACATCAAAATAAATCTATTTGATGAAGTATTGTAGGCCTGTGTAACTGTACCACAGTAAAAGTTAGCATCAAGAGAGGAGATAACTGACAAACAAATTACCACAAGTATTTAGCAATCCAGAACAATGGTGGGAAATGTCCCATTTGTTTTCTTTTAGAAATTCACAAATCCAGTATTGAAAGTCCACCTTTGCCATTTGGGTTAGGGTTAGGGTAAGGTGGACTTTATGGTAAGGTTGCCATTTGGCAAAGGTGGACTTTCAATACTGGATTTATGAAGGTGGAATATTTACCTGCACTTCCTGCTCAACTTTCCTTATGTGGTCATCCTTTATTCTGAGTTCCAATTGCAGTTGTTTGTACTCTGTGTCTAATTCTTTCATTCTGTTCTTCAGAGCATCTGTGCAGTCCCCTCTGCAATTAAGGAGCCATAAAGTGAAAACATAGAACAAAGGGAGTTCAGGCATCACCAAAATAATCTTCTAAACATTTATGTTTTAAAACGTGTTCCACTATATCTTCAGAATTTTTTAAAAAAAACAAAGGTAATTAATGTGGGAAAATAAACTTTGTAGATAGGTTTGATGAGGTTTGATGATCAAGGTAATAGGGCAAAAATTGTGATTTGTGACATGTTAATATTATTACCTCATTGATAAATCCAGTCAATAATACGATTGGCTGTGGATGTAACCCCCCACACCCCCCATCCACCCCAATCTTTGTCCCCTCCCCCCTTGAATATGTTATACATAATTTTATACAACAAAAATAACCAGATATTTGGTTTGGACAAGTTTGCAGGGCTAAGGGGGGGGGGGGGGGGGGGGGTGCGGGAGTGGGATTGATTTGGATAGCTCTTTTCAAAGAACCAGCACAGACACGATGGGCCGAATGGCCTCTTTCTGTGCTGTATAATTTTATGAATCCATGATAACTATCATTGGTAATGCAACGCACATCTCATATTTCACTCCAATGTATCTTTGTACGATCATCTTTGATTTGCAGCTTTTATTTCTCTTTCTTGATGCAAAAGGATAGTTATTTGATATAGCTGATATCCTTTTCATTTCACTGAACGACAGCACCTCCAAAGTTGCAGCATTCCCCCAGTACTTCACAGTAGGTCAGCTTAAGTGAGCTTAAGTGCCAATGTGGGACTTCAACTCATATCCTTATAACTCAGAGCTGAGAGGTTACTAACTGAGCCAACTGACTATGTGGCCCATGTGGAGAAAACCATTGATGTGAACTTAATGAGCTGAATGTTCTATATAGACCTCTATATAGACGTCTCTATATAGACGTCCTCCCGACGTGAAAGGCGCTCAATAAATGGAATCTTGTTGTTGTTGTTGTTGTTGTAGACCTATCCGCTCCCTCCAATCAGCCTGCTCCACGTCCCCCTCCCCGCCCACCCCACCATTGGTGGTCGGGCCTTTAGACTTTCTGACCCCTCCCCTTTGGAACTCCATCCCACAGTCCCTTCACCTCCCTCCCTCCCTTGTATGTTTCAAGGCAAGTCTCAAAACCCTCCTGAGCCTTTGGTCACCCTCCTATCCCTACCCTCCATGCCCTCCACCCTTCCTGATCCCAGTCCCCAGCTCAGGTCCAAATCCCTGAATGTCCATCGCCTTGGGTCGTCCTCCTGATGTGAAAGATGCTGTATAAATGTGATTTGTGTTATTGTTTAATACGTTTCTATGAATTTTCCTTACCTGACAGCTGCATTGAGTGAGGCAGCTCGAGCAATAACTGAGGTTTCATCTGCCTTCCTCCTCTTTGCATCCATCAGCTGCTTCTCGAGGAGAATTCGACTCTCCAGTTCGATTCTCAGCCTCTTCTCTAAATGGGCTACGGTCTGTTTGTCTTTCTGTTTTGCTTGCAAAGCACAATGCATTCTTAAAGTAAAGTGAAACACACCAGTTATACTAATAGTGTGGAAGATAAACCATTCTTTACTTAATTGAGAACACACTTGTTGACTAAATAATGAGAACACTTTTCACTGTATTGATGGCATCCCTACCTGGTCTGTAAAAGCTCATTCTCCTGTCGAAGCTGAACAAGTTCGGAGCGTATTTTTTGCTTGCTGTTGGTCAGTACGTTCATCTGACTGCGGAGCTCTTGTTCATACTGCCTAGAGGTTTGTAGGTCTGCCTTCAGCTTCTTTATGTCCTGCTCCAGTCTAGAAAAAAGAGAAGTCATATTGCTGGATTGTATCACAATGCAAAATTATGAATTTGCAATATCAAGCATTCAGCAACACAGTAGATCTACACTTTGATCATCTTAACAGAGGAAGGATGTCCTCAGAGTGCAACTAACTGAGCCAAGCTAACCCTTGAGTAGATGGTTCAACAACAACAACAAAATAAAATTTGTATAGCGCCTTTCACGTCAACAGAAAGCACGGTCGAAGAGAAGAGTCTTGAGATGGGTCTTGAAGGAGGCAAGGGAGAGAGCTCCAGAGGGTGGGGCAGAGTGGCTGAAGGCCCGCCCAACAATGGTGAGGTGGGCAAGGCAGGGGACCTGAAGAAGGCCGAAGCCCGCTGAGCGGAGAGAGCGTGCAGGTTGATAGGCGGTTAGGAGGTCACAGAGGTAGAGCTGAGCGATGCCATGGAGGGCTTTGAAGGTGAGGACCAGGATCTTGAACTGTATCCTCTGTGTGATGAGAAGCCAGTGGAGTCAGGCGAGGAGGGGGGTGATAGGGTCACAGAGCTTGGTGCAGGAGAGGATATGGGCTGCAAAGTTCTGGATGACCTGCAGTCTGTGGAGGGAGGAGTTGGGTAGACCGAAAAGCAGGGAGTTTGCATAGTCAAGCCTGGATGTAATGAATGCGTGTACGAGGGTTTCAGCGGTCTGTGGTATGAGACAATGGCGATGTTGTGGAGGTGGGGGAAGGCAGAGTGGGCCATGGCAGAGATGTGGGGTAGAAAGGATAGTTGAAGGTCAAACAAGACCCCAAGGTTCCGGACTAGCTTAGCAAGATGGAGTGAGCATCCATGGATGGTGATGCTGTCAGCGCCTGAGGTGTGGAGGCGCTGATGGGAGCCAATCAGGAGAGCCTCAGTCTTGTTGACGTTCAACTGAAGAAAGTTAGTTCTCATCCAGGACTTCATGTCCGACAGGCATTCTGTCAGGACAGCAGTGGTCCTGGAGTCAAAGTTGGAGGCAGAGAGATAGAGTTGGGTGTCATCCGCATACATGTGGAAGTTGACCCCATGTCTGCGGCTGATGGTCATGTGCGGACATACACCAACTTGATTGGCCAAGTGGCCTATTTCTGTGCTATTAACGTTCTTTCTACCTTTGGACTGATTCATTACCATTACCCTTGGAGAATGTCCACCAATAATTCATCAGGATGATAGGGATGAAAGGAAGCAAATCGATCCTGCCACCCATCAAAAGCAATCATTTTGGGTGTCCATTGATTGATCAGTAACTTTGAGGGCACAACCTTTTAACGTTAAACAGCCAGTTGCATGGGTCTTTTATTTTGAACTGGTTGGCAGAGCTTTGTAAAGGCACTGAATTGCTCAAGTTTACAGCTCCCTCTGGTCCCTGCTCCTTGTGCCAGACTGCTGGGATTAATGTTGTATCACTTCCAGCAGGTGAAAAACCAAGCACAGTAATAGTGTAGTGCAGTTGGAAAGCGAAGAAAAATAATCAAAGTGACCTACTGTATTCTTCACAGAATAGTGCTCATGCTATTTATGAACTCATTGTAATAGAGGACAGTGAACTGTGCTTTTGTAATCATCTTAGTAATGACAATCGTCAAGCATTAATCTTCTGAACTACAAGTGTGGGTAGTCATGCTCAGCACCTACTGCATTTATTATTTTCATTCATTGGAATTGAAATTGCTCTACGTGATAAAATGACATTTTATTTAAACTCTGATACATTTTTGTGCCTGGCTTCACAAATCCCGACTTGATCCGTTTTTCCTGTTTTTCAGTTTATCGCTTTATAAGGCTTCCTGCATTCCTGCATGCCTCAATGAATGATGGATTGAGTTATTACCTACAATACTTGCATTGATATAATGCCCGTCACATAGGATAACATCTCGGAGCGCTTTACAAAGGTTGGGTCAGACACCAAGTAGGGGAGGGTGGGAAAAGGGAGATGACCAAAAGTGCATTCAAAGAGGTAGATTTTAAGGATGTTCTTGATGACAGGGGCGAGTTGCCTTAGAGCTAAGGTTGCTGAATACGTTTTAATCTGGACAGTGATGAATGAACTCTATACTTAGCACGGTTCTGAACAAGTGCTAGAGTTTGTGCTCATTGAAGTGAGTTGTATTTTGTTAAGTTTTATTTCTAGTTGATCCATGTAAATTTCAGGTCAGGGGTGAAACAATAGACATGGTTGCCTTTAAGGATCATAATGTACAATAATTGATATGTAGATATGTTTTAAGTTTTTATGGTGCAGACTGAGATGAACGAATATTTCTCTTAACACAAAGATATCTGTCGTGCTAGGGAGAGTGGCGTGGGGAAGGAATGTTGTTTGTGGAGGGAGGGAAGCCAATAAAACAGGTTTAAATACTGAAGCTGTGGAGTTGGAGGATTATTCTGGAAATTTTCTTGACTTCCTTTATGGTTCAGTGAGTACCCTAATAAATAGTTTGCCTTGTGGGTGGAATGAAATACATGTTAGGTTAAGTTTTGAGTGACTATGGAATTAACAGGCTTAATGAATGAAATTCCATGTCTTATATAACTAATGTCACCAACATGTTGAAGTCTAAACATTTGGTTTATAATTACTCAATTAGGCACTTCCCCTCACGTATTTCCTGGTGTACACACCAAGCTTTGTGACCCTATCACCACTATCCTTGCCTAGCTCCACTGGCTCCCCATTTCCCAGCGGATAGAGTTCAAAATCGTCGTCCTCACCTTCAAAGCCCTCCACGGCACTTCCTCCTTCCTACCTCTGTGATCTGCTAACTCCATATAGACCTGTCCACTCTCTCTGCTCAGCAGGCTCTGGTCTGCTCCATTTCCCAACCCCCCCCAGCTTAGATCCAAATCCCTGACTGTCCAGCACCTTGGGACATCCTCCTGATGTGAAAGGCGCCATACAAATGTAATTTGTTGTTGTAATCTTAATCTTTACTGGTCTTTAGTTGTGCATAAGTTGTGTTTAAAAGGGAGAAGCATGGGATGTAAGGATTTTAAGGGAGATGAAGAAAAGGGTTTAAAAGATATGTCATGATCTAATAAGATGGTGAAAAGTCTCAGAATGTTTGCAACTACCTCCCTCAAACTCTTCGCTTCGCCCCCTCCTTCCCCATCTTCAAGTCGTGCCTAAAGACCTTCCTTTTCGACCGCGCCTAAGGTCACCTTCCCCCCCCCACTGGCTCGGTCTTGGGCTCCACAATTGTTAAGCGCTCTGATTTGGAGGGCGCTATAAAGTGCAAGTTGTTGTTGTTGTTGCCTGGAAATCTCAAGTCACCTTACCGTAAAACAGCTTCAGGCTTGCTATTCTGATAATTCAAAGAGCCATTCTCAAAGATCCCTTTCCGTGTGCCTGCGTTCTTGCCAGAGCACTTTTGCTTCTTCTCGTGCTTTGGAAGGATTGCACTACCATTTGATGCACTTTGAACCTTTGGTGATAAGTGCTTGTAGGTTTTTGAAGAATCTGCACCCGAGTCCTCCTGGGTTAGATTTTCTGCATTCCCAAACATTTCGTACTCTACTGTCTTGTTTAGATGATTTTCTGCACAGTCCGTTTCACTCGTTTTAGAATCCGTTGTTTGTAAATAGTTATTAGTTCCAAGAGTTTGCTTGCTGATGTCCTTCTCTCTTTCTTTGACTTTTTCTTTAAATTCTAGTTCTGGTAAGGCTAAGGTGTATTTCTTCCCAATCGCAATGGGTCTAGAGTGATGCTGGTATTGAGAGCACACTGTGAAACCTTTAAATGCTGAAGCCAAAAGAAATATTTTTAACATGGGCATGTCAAAAAAAACATTTGCAAAGTGCAATAAAGTTCTTAATGTTCTAACACAATTTACTTTGATGGCAACACTTATAGCAGATCACCATGTTCATAACAAATAAAATAAATAATAATCCTTGCATTTGATATAGTGACATACCTTCTGACTCAGAAGCAAGAGTGCATTGAACCAAGCTAACACAATTTGTATTTTGTAGATGAATGCAGCAGACAGTTTTACCACAGCAATGTCCTACAAATAGCCATGAAGTGAATGACCGATTTTATGTGTGGGCTTGTTGCCCAGGACACCAGGAAACACTCCCCCTTCTATTGCAGATTAGGTCATGGAATCTTGTGATGGTTTGTTTGTAAAGTGGGGATAAAGACCAAATTGGAAGAATAAATCCAAAGTGAACTTTATTGGGCCATTCTGAATGAATTCAGAATACTGAAGTATCAATTATTACCCAAGCTTGTTAGGATTGCTGAAACTAACGATTGGACTATAAAAAAGAAAGTAAATGGAGGCTATTAATTGCACTTGATACAGTGACTATAATGTCAAAATGTCTCAAAGCACTTCACAGGGATTTGCCATAGAATCTTTAATGTCCAGTTGAACAGGCTAATGGAATGAGATTTAGAGGCCAAGAGCAAATTTAGTTCATGAACATAGTTTCATACAGTACTATATACAAGGATAACCAAACTAGCTCTGAGATTCAGATTCCAATACATTTGAATTGACTAAAGCCTATGTTGCTGATTTCAGAGTTTAATATGTTTTAAAGTCATTTCTTAAGAAGGAATCTGTCTTGCAAATGGGAAAGTACACTGACCCAGAGAACTCTGCTCCAATCATATTCTATAGTAGAGTTCCCAAAAATTCTAATGAGAATCCTTAAGAAATTAAGATCCCAACGTTTCAGATTTAAAACCATGCTATTTTGCCATGGGTTGAATTACTGAAACATGACTTGTAAAAGAAATGTTCATTGATGCTTTTAAAGCTGAAGTACAACATGGCATGGTGTCAAAGATTATAAATTCATAACGTTTGAATTAGGAGTTAATGGTATACACTAGAGACAGATTTCCCCCACTTCCACCCCGGTTTCAGTGTTGATGGTCCGTGAAACCTACTCAAGCATTCTATCTCCTTTCAAGTGCTGGTTAGCGGGATAGAGACTTACTCTGAATTTTTAGATTAGTAAAGACATTCAGGAACGAGTGTATTTCTACATTGATTAAACTCCTATCAAAATCAGAAGAAAGAAAGGGGAAACCTGTTCTTTACGCACCTTCTTCCAAATCCCGGTCTTGTCTGGGATGCATCTGCTCTGAGGGTAAAGCTTGCCAAAGGAGCTGCATGAAGAATTCATTCTGTTTCCGAACTTCGTTTTGTTTTCGTAATTTAATTTTGTAGCAGATGTAACTTTTAAATTCAAAACCTAAAGAAACCATTGGATACCCTACGCTAAAAAAGAAGGAAAAATGGCAGATATCAATCTAAACAGTAACAACTGAAGGAGTGATATTCTGATATTCAGTGGCTGAAACTCTAAAACAGTTTTTACTTCTAAACATTAGAAGTTATTATGCTCTTTTGTTTATTATACAATACAAATTTACACTCAAATAATACCTTTCACATTGGGAGGATGTCCCAAGGTGCTTAAAAGTCCTGGCTTGGCATCTGAACTGGGGATGGGAGCTGAAGGGGGTGGGGAAGGGAAGGATGACTGAAAGCACGGTCAAAAAGCTAGGTCTTGATGATACAGACCTGAATGAGTTGAGAGAGGAAGCGAGTCAGGATGGGGTTCCAGAGAGTGGCGCAGGTCAGCTGAAAGCCCTATTGCTGATAGTTGGGCGGGGGACATGCTACAGACCTGGACATGCTACAGACCTGTATCTGCTGAGCAAAAGGATCGATCGGGTCGATAAGTTTAATGTAACAACTTTATCAAATTGTATTTGGATATCCAAATGTAATTTTGCATTATTGTGTTGTATCCATTCCAATCACAAGATTTGTGAAATCGACACTGTGGTTTTATAACCTTAATAATATTTTAGATTAATAATTTGACACTATTTATAACTTAAACATTTAATGCAGCTATTTCATAAAATCTTACAGCACAGAAGGAGGCCAATTGGGAGTTGATCATCTGATCTATAGTCTACCAACTTGGTATTGATTGTTTCCGATGAGTTTTACCCCTCCTCAACCAATGCTGGCTAAATACAGAGCAACAAGAAGTTGCACTTATATTGTACCCTCCACACAGGGTAGCATCTCAGAGTGCTTGAGCATCAGCTGGTGAAGATTGAGCAGTAGAGTATCAGCTGGTAAAGATAGAGCTGTCAGGAGACTGGACCCGAAATTGCCACAAACTGCATGTCTCTTCAGCAAACAGAGGTACTGGAGCCAATTATATAGAAATCTGCATCTTAAATAGTCCTCATTTTTCAGGGAGATGAACAGCAGGACGGAGACGTGAAGTCAGCAGAAAGGATGTAAACAAGGAATTTCAAAAAAAACTTTTAAAATTATTCTGCCTTATTTACTGAAGACAGGTGTAAATTCAAACACACAAACTCCCACACGTTTCCTTCACTTACCAGTGTGCTGCGAATGGGCGACAAAGGTCTACGTGGAAATTTTTTAAATCCTTAAATCTGATTGTTGCTTCTATGTAAATAAAAAGTATCCAAAGAGACAAAGTGGACAAGCAAACTCCTCTTTCTGAGGGGAAAACAGAAGTTCAATGTTAAAAATAACACCAAGTAAGGATGGCCGAATGCAGTTTGCAGACAAACATTACATAAGAACGTTTGATTTGTTATGTTCTTCTCCTTTAATTTGTTACATTCATTCTCTCCTGAAGGCACAAGCTCTTCTTCACATCTAGTAATTGACCTTACAGACCCTTGTCTGAATAATATATATTTTAGGCATCTGCTTCAGTCTATCACTGTGCACAGCACTCTACAACAGCAATATTCTCAGAATATATTAAGGACAACATTTGTATATATTAGCTGTTGACGTTTTTGTGCTACCATTCTAAACTTTGTACGTTTAAGCATATCTTTATTAATTTACACTGAATAACTAATGTGAAAACCAATATATGACCCATCTATCTGATCTGCAAAGCAGCAAACTTTGCAGAAGAATACTTCTTCTTATTAATAATAATCTTTGCATTTGATTATACCGCCTTTCATATCAGGAGTATTTCTCAAACTGCTTCACAGGAGTTATTGTAAGGTGTAATGACTGTGTGTTTTGCAGGCAAGTACAACAACTGATTTGTGCAAAGAAATATCAGTCATGAAGTGAATGGCCAATTTTATCTGGGGTATTGTTAGCCAAGCACCAGAAGAAACCAGGATTTTTAATGTTCACCTAAACAGATAGACTGAACCCTGGTTTAACCTCTCCGAAGGACAGCATCGTCAACATTGCAGCATTCCCGCTCCCAGCACCGCACTAGAATATCAGCCCAGATTGTGACTTCAAAGTCCCAACATGGGACTGAACTTTTTGACTCAAAGGGAAATTCTACCAACTGAGCCTGGCTTACACCTGATATATTTACTCTATTTCCTTTATCATTTTAGAATGTGTAGAGTTTGATTTATTGTTGAATTCGGTCTTATAATACAATATACATGTAGCACCTCTCCCATCAGGAGAACATCTCAAAGCACTTGACACTGAAAGGTGACTGAAAACACTTTCAAACAGGTAGATCTTGAGGCAGATTTTGAAGGAGGTGAGAAAGGGAGTGAGTTGGAGGGACTCCAGGGTGGAGTTCCTGAGAGTGGGAACAGAATGGCTGAAAGTTCACCACCTTTGATGCCGACTTTCTGTATATTTTAAAAGAGTGATACGAAAGCATTTAAAATTGAGACTATATTTAAGACACAGCCAGAAGTCTGGTTGCTCTGAAAAGCTATGTAAATGGGGTAAATCTAGAACAACAACAACAAATTACATTTATATAACACCTGCCACTTCGGGAGGACGTATCAAGGTACTGAACAGTTAGGGATTTGGACCTGAGCTGGGGGTTGGGATCAGGAGGATTGGAGGGCAGGGAGGGTAGGGCTTGGAGGGTGACTGAAGGCGCAGTCAGAGAAGGTCTTGAGATGTGTCTTAAAGGAGGCAAGGGAGGGAGCAAAGCAAAGAGATTTGGATGGAGTTCCAAAGGATGAGGGCAAAGAGGCTGAAGGCCCGAAGGCCAGACCACCGATGGTGTGGCGGACCAGAAGGGGACGTGGAGCAAGACGGAGCCTGCTGAATGGAGAAATATGGAGTTAGCAGGTCATAGAGGTAGGAAGGGGCAAGGCTTCGAAGGAGGGCTTTGAAGGCGAGGAAAAGGATTTTGAACTCCGTCCTCTGGTGGAATTTCTCCCCCATTATAGGGTAGATATCGATATAATAATAATAATATAATAATAATCCTTGAATTTGATATAGCGCTTTCCACGTCTTCTAGACGTCTCAAAGCGCTTCACAGAATATGCTGTAAAGTGAATTGACTGTATATTTGTGGGCAGAACATGGCAGCCAATTGCACACAGCAGTGTCCTACAATTAGTTGTGGATTGAAAATTACCAATTTATTTTTGTTTTGGAGGGATTATTATTAGGCGTGGGGAGTAATGAAACTTGCCCAAGGGTTCGCCCTGCCTGGAATTGAACCCAAGAGTCTTGCTTGCAAGGCGAGTGCTCTAACCATTGCCCTACAGGACTCCACAAGATAGAGAAATGTAAAGTGATTGACTTTGGGTCTAAGCCTATTGGGTCTAAGCAAGCTAACAGTGAAGGATTGTATTGGAAAAGGAAGATATTACTCACAACCAAGAAAATCTTATGACATGTGATAAGTCGTTATGTTCAAGGTGAAATAATTCTTGAACATCTGCTACCAGCAGTTTAAGCATGATTAAAAAACAGCAATAGCTGCATTGCTAATGTGAGATGCAGAACTGGTTAAGATGAATAGATTTACATAAAATTAGTTAGACTGTTACAGCATGGAAACAGGCCATTTAGCGCAGCCATTTTTTGTTGGTGCTTATACTCAACATGAACCTCCACCCTGCCGAATTCCCTCTTCCATAACCCTGTATTCACTTAAGAGGAAACCTGTATACATCAGGTTTCCTCTTAAATATGTTGATGCTTTCTGCTTCATCCAAGGATTGTAGGAATCCTGTAGCTCAGTGGTTAGAGCACTTGCCTCGCAAGCAAGAGACCTGGGTTCAAATCCCAGCAGGGCAAAACCTTGAGCAAGTTTCCTTACTCCACACGCCTGATAATAATCCCTCAAGAAAAGAAAACAATAATAAAATTGGTCACTTCAATCCACAACTATAAATCTACAACTGGCAACCATTCTTATCCATAGTTGAACTGCTCACAAACAGCATGAGTCCCTTTTATAGGCTTACAGCATTCCTTTTTGAAGTGTGGCTATTTCCAGCAGATACATTTTTACACATCTTGACATGCCAAAAGCATGGCTTCTCTCTTGTTTGCCATTTACCATTAACATTAACCAGTCAATAATACAATGTTGCTAAAACTAATAATTTGGTCACTCAATCCACGACTGTTTGTGGAACACTGCTGTGTGCAATTGGCTGCCGCGTTTCGCCCACAAAATATACAGTCAATTCACTTTACAGTCTATTCTGTGAAGCGCTTTAGGACGTCTAGAAGACGTGAAAAGCGCTATATCAAATGCAAGGTTTATTATTATTCTGTAAACCTTTGTATGTTTTGCAGCATATATTTGTAATCCTCTTCCTTATTTACCAGACCCCCTGGTTTGGTGACATTTGTGAATTTTGAATTATATCTGAATTCAAATAATGTATATACATGGTGAACAGTGGTGGTCGTCATCAGGATCGCTGCAGAATTCCACATCTTACTTCTTGCCAGTCTGAGAAGCTTCCCTCTACTCCTACTCTTTGTTTCCTATTTACCAGACTCCTCTCAATCCATTCTGCTATTCTCCCAGCTCTCCTGATTTATAGCCATGAGTATCTTATGTGGCACTTATCAAGGGCCACTTCATTTCTCTTATCTACTTATCTGTTACTTCTTTGAAACGTTCTGTGAGGTTGCTCAAGCATGACCTTCCTTTCATAAATCCATGCTTGCTATTTTTAATTATACGCTCCTTTTCGAGTCGCTTAGGAGATGTTTCTCGAGATGCTTCTTGAGATGCGTGAAATCCAGTTAAGATTTACGCACACTGCACTAATACAACTGGTGTCAGTATTCCTACTATGGAAATAAAATTGAGCAGAGATTTTTAAAAAAACATGGGATTAATACTGGTTGAGCAAAGTCAGCAGTGAATTAAACCAGAAGAGACAATGATTTGGAGTGGAGAAAGAGCAGGACTAGAGTTAAAAGAAGTGATTGGAACTACTTCAGACAAGGTGGCAGAATTAGCCTCTGAAAATCCAGTGTTAGAGGTGGCATAAACAGGCAGCAGCAGAAGAGAAATGGTAAAAATATAATACTTTTCATAGCTATAAGAATGTTAGCAATCTATAAGCCAAAGGGTTTTGAGGAGTAAGAATATAAGTGGTTTAAACTGTAAAGAAGAAATTCACTATTAAGATCTTAAAGGATCTCATAAGCTATTGCTCTTTGTTGTGGCTGTTGCACATGAGATTGTGTTTATTTTTAGAGAGCTTGGTGGGAATCCAAGTACAACGGAAACTCAGCTGTTTCCATTCCTCAAGTTCTACAACTGGCTTGTCCCAGTTTCTGAATTCCTAATATTGCTTCCTAAAAAAAAATAAAAGTGGGATATCTCTGTTTAAAGGCACAAATCTTCCATTTCTTCAGACGGATGTCTGACACATGAGGAAATGTCTTTAATGCAGGGAAGGAGAAAAACTGAAGCATCTGATTGGTATTTTCAGCGCACAAAAATATAATAATAATAAAAATATTGTAAACATGTCTGTTTTTAACATTTAAGCAATTTTGAAGCAAATTGTTCAACTGCTTTGAATGGGCATGTATGTGTTTTGAAAGAATCATCCTATTACCAGTAGGAAAACAGTGAGCTAACACTGTGATGATCAAAATACACAACAACACTAAACCTTATTATTTTGTCCAAGTCAATACAGGAAATCAATTTGCAATCTCATTTGAATTCCTGTCTTCCAACTGTGTTGTATGCCACGCTATACTAAACTTTCATAATATAAAAATATAATTACTGTAGAACCTGATTATTGTAAAGTCAGTGTCGTTTGTTCCTGCACATGCTTAATTACAAGTATTCTTAATGTTTTGGCATCAGACTTCAAGCCGCCATAAAATGATTTTCATGAATTTTATCACTTATAGAGCTGCAGATCAAGTTAAGCTAAATATATCTGTTGTGCAGACAGTGCATGGATATCTTTTTCCTCTAAATTACATAGCATCCCAAATGACCCGATAACAGAAAAACAGTTAAAAACTTCAAAAAATAGGATTTCTTTTTCAATAAAATCAAGCAATTTTAAGATATTCATCAGGGTGAGTCTAGAACTGAAGTCTAACAGGAAACAGGAAAACATTTATTTTGGCCCAGTTTGACTATAATGGTAAGGAATGAAAGAAAAGTTATCGGCCATCAGCTCACAGGAACTAACAGAGCTTTTTAAAATTAACTACAGAATGAACTCAGATCAGATTTTTAAACAAGTGTCATA